TTAGTCCCAATGTTGAAACAAGTGGCATTTTTTGAAATGAATTTGGTTGCATTTTTACATAACACTGCCATGAATAACCTAAGGGAAGTGTTGAATGGTGTTGGCCAGGGCATAAAAAGATAAATATGCATTTTACTAAACTACCTCAGGCATTTAGTACCTCAATGAGAAATTGTTCCTTTTTTGCTTTTTTTTTTGGTATTTTGTATACTTTATAAAGCTAATAGTTCTTGAGCATTTTATTTTTTTAAAAAAAATTAAAATTTGATCAGCCACCAGCCAGGAGTACTACAGACTTATCGGGGAAAAATATAGTAGAGCACTTCTAGCTGCTGGCTGATGGGAGTAAGGTGGGTAAAAAAAACACAGCCTCAGATTTCCTGAGGGCTTCAACACCATCATTTGTTTAAAAAAAAAAATTCAGTGAATGTTCAAAAGATAGTGAATGATGCCAACATTCTGATAGCAGCAATGCCGTTTAGTTTTCTTTTAAGATGGGATGAAAAAGTTTGTGACGGTACTTTTTTGGGAACAGGACAAGGAAGTGATGGCAAGAGGCTGGGGTTGGGGGAAAAATTTAGAAGGCTGCAAGAGGCTGAATTTTTTTTTTGTGCTACTTGATTGAATGCATGAACCCTTTGTGCCTTTGACCATCACTACCTAATAATGCTACATTTAACCATTTGCAGCCCATTTGGACTTTGCCATTTTGTTCAAAGAGCAAGCTTCATCTTCAGTTTGATAGAACACTTGATCTGCTGGAGCATATTTGAGGCCAGGAGGGTCTCTGCTGTCTGCAGATCACATCATACTGCTTTCAGTTACCACGATGGGGGAAGGTCAAACAGTGTTTGATCACATTGAAAGATAATGAAAGGCTAAGTTTACATATCCAGCCGCTGTTATGGGCCACACTAAGCCACTTTGAAGGTTTTGAAAACGATTACAAGAAAAAAAAAAAAAACAAACAAAACAACAACCTCTCTAGCCTGGCTTATAATAGATGCAGCAGGATTTATGCACGTTCTGCAACCAACCATTAGAGGTGAACAAAAAAATGTCAAAAGGCAGGGATAACAGGAAAGTTACCAAATTTTTTAATTTCCAAATGTAATTTGAATGATGATTGTGGTAATAGTGACACATTCAAGTTTCTACAATAAACTTCAGTCTACCTCAGTTTAAGAAAAAAAAATGTGGCAACACATGGTGCATAAAGACTGCTGTGTGTGTGTGTGTGCGCGTGCGCGCCTGTGTGTGTGTGGTCGACAGAGCCATGCTATTACCTCTGAACCTTTTTTTGTGATGTTTTTTTGTGCATGAGATGATCAGAATCACCATGCTGCACTGATTTGAGGGGCACAGCGAGCAAAAACATTTGTTTCATCATTTTGTTATCTACCTCTTAGGTTCATGTTGAAATAGAGGCATTACTACATAGACTAGATAATTTTCCCAAAGATCATTGTTGTACAGGTTAGSTAATTTTGAAAATGGTCTGAAGTGTTTTTCCTGCATCTCTTCTTTACTAATTGGTTTAAAAACCACAAACTTATGTTGTAGTTTTAGCAAAGAAAAATGAGTTTCTTTTCCTTTTTTGACAGTGACCTTCATCTAGCCTTTAGGATAATTTTTTTTCTTACAATGAATTTAAAATTACTGAAGTATGAAAAGTACATAGCATTTTAATTTTTGTTGAGGCTTAAGTCAGTTGGACGTTCCTTTCTTAACATTTGAGAAGGATTTGACTTTGTTATTTTCCATTAAAAATTCCTTTACAGATAGGCGCTGCATTTACATCTGCTGATTTAAATACTGTCATCTCTCTTAAATTTCTAGACTTAATATGGTATCTCATGTTTTTCTTTTCAATTGAGACTTGGTAATTTGGAGTATTTGGGAATAGCTAGAAAGTAAATACTGTAAATGATTTCAATATCCACAAAGTATGGATCATTTTTCATCTGTAATGTGCCCCCCAATGCAGCTCTACTTGCCAGATGCCTCTGAATGGAATAAAGAGTTTAACTCCTATCATCAGATAAAGTTGTGTGGTGTTTTTTTCAATCAATGAGGCATAGGGACAGACTGTCCTGATATTTGCAGTGCTTTGATCAAGCTGGTTTTCTGCCCATAATAACTGGATAAGGAAGAATAGTAACCTAAAGTGTTCCATAGCTGCTAGGACAGCCAGGTTATATTTGTACTTCCCAAAACAAGCAGGGACTTCTGTGGCTTGTAATTCACCTCTCCTTCCCATATAACAATGCCATACAGTSTGGGGTGGTTTGTCTTGCACCCTTCACTCAGGCTGATTTGCTGTGGCAGAGATGTGGACCCAACAGTCCTGATCCAGGGTAAACACGGAGATCAGAAAATGTAATGTTTTTAGGGGGGAGGAGCAGGGGAGGGCACGTTTTTAACCCAGTCTTTACTGGGGTGGGCTTGGAATGATGGAAGCTTTGTAATAAACRCAGTCCTAGAAGCTTGGATAGGCAGAACCAGTCACAGTGGCAAACAAATGTGCTGGCAACCTCTGTCTCATCCCAAAYACGATCACTAAAAACACCACTTGCCAGTGAGGTGGTATCACCTCTCCGTTTAGATCCTTATTAACATTATTTGGAGTAGAAATGAGACCAGATGTTTAACTGAATGCTTTCACATGAGTGGGAGGGGGTGGGGAATAAAGGAGCATCATGAATTACACAGTTCTGTATCTTTTCAAAGACAACTGGAAAACCCAATTTGTTTTCCAAACTTGTGCCCCTTYCTACTTATCTTCACAGCTCCTTCCCTGGGACCAACCAGCAGAAAGAGGAAATTGAAGAAATGTCTGTTAAAGGCRCTGCATACAGTATCACATTTCACAGGGTACCCTAAGTTCATTTCTCCATGTCAATATTGAGCTTTAYTCTCAGAACCAGCACCCTGTCATTAGAGCAACATAAAAAGCCAAGCCTTGCTCTGCACTGCTGCTGCATTTGAGACAGCTCAACCCTTGACTGTTTTAAGCACTTGCTTAATCATGACATTTTTATTTGCTTCTAATCTTCCAGAGCTTTTATTCTTGAACTGCAATTTCCAAGGCATGCGCTCTTTTTATCAGTTTCCATTAAATGGAGCATGTGTGCTGTGCAAGACAGCCTGGGCATGATRTGGCACTAGAGTGTAGGATTCTTAAACAAACATGAAAAACTGATGAGAAATCACTCAAGCTGGGCTGCAACAGAGATGTTGGCTCAAGTGCTGGACACAAACACTGCTGGAAAATGAAGTTACTCTGATGCAGTGCAGGTAATCGGTGAAATGATGACAAAAGTTTCACTTGGTGGTATCTCCTGTTCATCTCAAGGGATCTTTCACAGAGCCAACCTGTCCAGGACTGAATGCAGAATCTACAAACTCATTGCACAAGTTGATTGCTATTTTTATTTTACTCAGAAATCATCTGATCTATCTAATTGCAATCATTCCCAAATACTTCCTTTCCAAAAGGGGTTTCATGTTGCACAATATTGACCTTCCAGAATTTCTTGGTTAATTCCAGCTTCTAGGAGTATCAGACCACAGTCCAGCAAGGCTGGCAGGTAAATGTGGTTGGGGGATCACAGTAGATCWGCAGATTAGAAATGATTCTGTTACATGGATTAGGATCAAGTTCTTTCTCTGGGTTGGCAGTTCTGATTGTTTAATAGCAAGCAGTGGATGTTCATAGAACTCATTTTCACATCATGCTTTGGCAGTTAAGTCAGTYTTACTTGTTTATATTACTGGGTTTTATCTCCTCTGTTATTTTCATTTTTTTGTCCTGTCTTACAGACTATTACTCCTTTTCACCTCCAAGGGTCCTAGCCTGCTCACACAGAAGCTTTTCCCTCTCTTACTCCTCTGTGTATTCCTTTTGTTACTGCTCTTTCAGAGTACTGTCTGTGGTTCTGGTTACTAAATATGGGTTCACATAATTGTGTAACATTTGCTGAACCTACCTCTATTCATCCCATATTACTGATCCACAGCAGCAGYAAAAGGCAAATGTTTCAGGGAATGAGTCAAAGATACTCCTACACATCCCTTTCCTAGGAGGAAATGCCTGATTTAGAACCCATCAGGCTGTAAGACAGCCAAGGTTATCTTTTTCCCACGTGATTACATTCAAGAAGTATCATGAAACATTTCGAAAATCTTTCTCTGCATTTAGATTCCCCATCAAAATATTTGTTTTGTGGGCAAAGATGTTTTATTTGGATGGTTTTAACTACACTTAAAAAACACCCTTTGCTTAACTGCAGAACTATCTGCTGCCTTGTATCAAAGAGCAGGTGAACTTGGGGGCAGTCATTCCTGAAAGAACAGAACTTAGACACAGCAAAAAAACAGGACATGGGAAATGSAGAAGTTGGGTTTTGGCTTGTTTGGGTTTTAAACACACACACACACATACACACCACACCCGTCCTCCCAAACAATACAGCCACAGGCACAAAAACCAGGTTCACTTTGAGCATTACAAACAGCAGCTGCAGCAGACAGGGCTTGCAGTTATTTGTGGGGCTACCAGGAGAAAAAGGTGATTATCCTCAGGATCTCCTRTTTCTGCTTTCTGACAAATGGAAGAGCAAACTTCTTTGGGAGACCCTAATCCAGTGATCAAACCCCTGTCCTGTGGTGGAGAAAAGCATCTTGTCTTACACAGACAAGTTTTGTTACCACGTCAAAGCTCTTCTAACTGGTTATCAGACCATGCATCAGTCATGCTAAGAACACATTGGACTTTGACTTCTGAAAGTACTGAACAACCCATGAGCAGCACATATTGCTCAGTGACCAAGAGCTTCCTATAGAACAATTTTTCCCACTTCAGAGTTGAAGGTTTTCACTGCCGTAGTGTGTTGTCTCAGTGTCCCTTTTCAGGAACTAGGTGAGAGAAAAATGAGGAGAGGAGCCAACTGCACATGCAGAATGAGCTGAATGCTTTAACATGAAAACAATTGAAGTGCTTCAGTTTGGGGCTTTTTTTTATTATCAAAACCAGATTTGCCTTGGCTGGAAAACTGATTTACTGTTCTGATAACTCAAAGCATATTTATTTGTCACTGCTGCTCTTGGCTTTTATGTTCTCAGTAACACCAGTCTGTTTTCTGCCTCCCTTCAGACCATGATTTGCTTTATTGTGACCAGAAGCAAATGGCTTAACACAAGAAGCGTCATCTCAACTGTACTGTTTCAGTTTTTCCTTGCAGCACTCCCATCTGTTTTGCACTGCCACTACAGGGTGTCTTTCAAAGATATTAGAAAAACAATTACTCTAGAGGCTGAGCATGAGCTCCAGCTTAAACAGCTGTCTTTGCCCCACTCTTCTCACTGCAAACTCCACTAAGACAGTCGCTCCCCTGGGAAGCTCTGATAGGAGTCCATCTTTGACATTTCCTCGTTGGACTCTTTATCTTAAGGGTTTTTCCCAATCTTAAWGATTCCAYGATCCTGCTCATTTAAGCTTGTTCAGAGCTCTACCTAGGCACGTTCAATAAAAACASTGTTTTGTACTGATCAATGGTACTGACTACTCAGTCAGTTCCCAAGACTGCATGACTCAGGCACACTCATTCTCTTTCCATGCAGTAGCTGCTTTAAGTTCTTGTCTCGAGATCATCACTGCTGTTAGGAGTCAATCCAAATATAAAGTCTTTTGGCAGGGACTGTGCAGTCATCTGTGCTAGCTGGTCATCGTAGGGACCAAGAGTCCACAGCTTCTCCAACTCATAAACTTGTCGTGTCTCTGGCAGCATGAAATGCACCACTATATTACCTGCATAGAACAGAAAGTCACAATAAATTTATGGGAACTGTAAAGCACCACTACACCTTCAGCTGAGCAAAGTTCAAGTCTTCCACCCCCTTTCTGGCTAGATACAACTCTTTCACCCCCTTTCTGGCTAGATGCAGCATGTCAGCTGATAGAGGTCTCCTCTTAAGCTGCTGCTTCCAGTTCTCAAGCAGTATTAAAAACTGGTCAGTCCTTCAAAGCACTCCAAGGCTACAGTAACAAGATATGAGGCACATTACTTTAAAATGAGACACTATCACAAGCCTCCTTACCAGAGAAATATGACTTCTATGGGAAGAAGAAAGTCAAAAGGAACTTTACTTGAACGAGTCCCACAAAGTGAGCTGAGTGTCCCAGATGGATTTTCAGCTTTTGTATTGCCAACAACATTCAGCTGAAGCCACTTAATTTTTCCAAGGTATATTGCTTACATTTCTCAGGTGGCTTTTACAATGAAAAAGGTCCAAACTTGGATGTACTAAGTTTTTCTGGTTTCATTAATTCTGTGCAAACAGTACAGAATGTTAATCCCAGTGTTCATGTAATGGACTTTTTTGTCATTTTGCCCATGAATTCCAATTGATTTTCAGTTATTACTGTCAATAATTATTATAGTTAAGTAACCAAGGCTTAATTTCAGTGGCTGCAGATCTCCTCACTCGTCCATGCACTCTTTTAGGTCAGAACACCAAGTTAGGGGGTGAGATTCTAAAGCTAGTAGTGAAGGAGAAATGTTTTTTGAATGCAGTCTTTTATACTTGTGTAGTTTCACACTTGCAGAATTAAACTCAATTTCTTAGGACAGGTTTTACCCCATGTCATGGTATGATTTGGATGTGAAAAAGTATGTTCAGTAGTTCACTTGGCAGTATACAATGATCCCACATTTACCCAAACATTGATTATAGAACCCTGAAAAAATTGACTGAAGCAGCATCTTTTCYCCACTATTATCTTCAATTTATATATTAACAGGACTTGTTTTAGCCACTGAAAAGTAGTTACTGCTTTTGTCTCAGTGCCAAAAATATTTATGGAAAATCATTTAATATCTCAATGAGTTCAAGCAACAATTGGAACTCCCACATAGCAGAATGTTGTGAACTTCCCACAGCAACCAGGATTCATGGTGAGATGCTTCTGTCAACAAAGAACTCATGCAGAACTTTATTTCTGTCAGATTCACAAATATTTACCAAAATCAATGCACAGCCAGTCATCTGTCTCTTTTCCTTCAATCTGAGTATGAGGACCACTTTCTTCTTTGAGATGCTTGTACTAAGAAAAAAAGGAATGGCAGAAAACTAAGTCTTTTGCRTTTATTTAAAAGCATTCAAACTTAAAAGAGAGGCTTGATTTTGCTCAGTTGTTTCAAAGCTTAAAGGGGTTAGATTACTTCATGCTGGCTCTSGGGTCTTCACAAAAGAAAAAGGCTAATATACACTTGCAGTACTGGAAAATAAGTACAGACTTCTCAACGGGATTTAGTATCAAATCTGAAATCCTAACACTCTGGATTCCCATACAGTTGTCTGAGAATTTCGTAGGTATATCCCATCAAGATGAATACTAAATACAACTGCTTACAGTAGTTTTCCAGTTASTGGGCCCCTACAGCTGCCACCACCACCAGGTTTGATTTGTGATTCCTTTCACTGGTGGTTTACAGGCAGGTTAAGGATGCAGAAATGGAGAAGCTGAGATCATTCTCTTCTCAGATGGAAGGGAGTGGGGTGAAAACAGGTTTCATCCCCTGCCATGAGGAAGGCATTCAAACCAGCCTTTTGTCTCTTGAGGGCTCAACACTCACTGCAAGCTGGGGGACAGCACGAGCAGCACCTGGTTTCCACCTGGGAACCACTGTGGGAAAGGGGAGGGGGCAGCTCAATGCAGGACTGCACACACTCAGCTAAGGAAATTGAGTAGTTCCTCATGCAGCATGTGGTGGCCAGTCTGAGATGCTCAGCTCTCCCCAAACAGTACAAGAAGAACCTACAAAAACATGGACCAGACCATGAGAAATGTGACCAACCAAAGGCTGAAGGCTGGTCAGTTTTGGATCTGGCCATAACCCACTTGTTCYACTACAAGAGGGATCGATAGAAACAGCTCTAACAATCCTTTCTTCTACAAAATAACATGTACCAGCACCGCTGCCTGGCAAATGAGTCCCACTTCACTGGGAATGCAATTATCACAAAATGTAGCTRTTCCTGGTTATTCCACATAATGTTAGCTGCTGGGTAATGACCCTAGTTTGCAAACCAGCATGGAAAACTTTCAAAATATTAACTCAGAACTAGTTCTACCTTCCTTTCTTTAAGATGGCTTGTGAGGTACCTTCAAAAGACTCCAACAGTCTGCTTAAAATGCTAAAAAGCCCTACATGCGCAGCCATCAGCCATCTTCAGGCTGCAGAGGTTGATCTCTGCTACAAAGTTTCCAAGCCTCATCTTTAGAGGCTGTGTAAAGGGAACTGGTTACAATAAAACCAAGTGTTAGTTTCCACCTCTAAAGAGACCCCAGTGTGGGACTTAGCCATTGACAAGTTCCTGGAAGCAAAGCAGGAGAATCTCATGCTACACCTGAGCACGTCTGTGTTTTACTATGAGTGAATCAAAAGGGTTTAGGGGTGGTACTAAAGCTTGCCAGTGGCCTGGAAGCACTCTGGAGCACCTGCTCTGCTCTACATCWTAGGCTTCAGCTACTTTTTATCTASAGAACTTCCAATGTGAGACAGCTYAGCCACTCCCRAGCACTTGCTCAGGCTTCCCAGTTTCTCAGGATGCCCAGGAGGACACCGTGTCTCAGAGGCTTTGCCCTTGCAAAATTGCTGCTTTTACAGCCACCAGAGGGTGCAGCCATGAGGCACAGCCATGTTTTCCTAGGGTAGGTGGTGCTCATTGATCTCTCCTGGTCTAGGGGAAATACATAAACCTGCTAAGACCAGCACGTTATACAAGCAATGGAGTACATAGTAAGCACCTGGATTTAGTGTACTCAAACACATTAATGCAACTTGCAGCTTAAGGCAAAATTTTGGCTTGTGAAGATTCATCAGTTCCTGCAAAGAACATAAGAAATACCTCTAACCTGCTCAGAAAGGTCCTGAAAAGCTAAACCATCTCTCCCACTCTTCTTTCCTCCCACAAGTCYCAAGAGCTGAAACCAATGAGACTGGAAGAAGAGTGAAAGGAAAAACAGGTCAGGAAGGGAAAGGAAATGKGTGGTGAGAAGGCAAACTCCAGGCTGAGTACAGACAACTGACTGAGATGGGGCTGATCATATTCCTCACGCTGTGCTTTTTAACAGTTGTATGGCTCTTCTCTGGCAATGAAGTTTTCTCCCTCCCGAAGTTTGGACTTCATCCCTAAGCTCTACCTGYAATTTTATTCTGACCTCTGTTTCTAGACTGAACAACTCTCTTTCTTCCAAAGGYAAACAACACAGGATTTCTGTGCAAGGATGGCTGCTGCTGCTTTTTCTCTCCTGTACATGCACAGCAGGGGGACTATTAACTACCAGTTCGCTTGAAGTTCATGAAGGATCCTGTGCCTCTTAAGATGCCATCTATTTTTCCAGCCTTACAACATACCTGAGTACGTGGAAATTTTAAGGGTTAGAGTTTGAGAATAGTCAGCTAAAACTGTTTTGAATGACTGGGAATAGCAATGGTGCTTGCTGGACAAAGATAAAAGTAGACACAGGTTGTCATCACCATCTCACATCACTCATGTTCCAGACACCTAGCTGTGATGTCCTGACTGCTCTACATACAGAGAGATCTGTTTCTAAAACATATTACCTATATTTTATAGTTCTGCTAAGGGAAAAACACCCACAGTTACTTGCCAGATGTATTCAGGACTAAATGACATAATGTCACCAGTTTCATCTTACCTGGTACACCCCTACACATGCAATCCCGGGGAAATTGCTTTCGCAACATTTAAAACCATTCTCAAAACTCAGAGAGAACAGCGAGAACTGTCTTACCATTTTCAGCATGTAATGTGCCATTGCATGAAGATGTCGTGTTGAAAATCCGCTCACAACTATAAAATAATCACAGTATTTTATTTCTGGAGATAGCTGGATGACACAGATGTCCTTAGCATTTTCTTGCCTCAGTAGTGCTACGACCAAGTCAATGTTGAACTTTGGAAGAACAGTATCTGGAGCACACAGAAAAAATAGTACAGTGGCATTTTTTTCTTTTTAATTGCAAARATATACCATTTTAAAGTCAAAAAATAACAATTAACTAAATTACAGCCTGAGCTAGTCACTAACTGTGGAATTAGGTTTGATACTGACAATGCAACATGAACTGCAGATTTTTCAAAATCATTTTTACCAAAGCTAAGAACTAAGCAATCTTCCAGTAAACAACACTATCATTAGACCAAAGTTACCTAAATGAAACTTTGGTTTTTGCTAACTTACTTTTTCTTGTTGTTGCCATTTAAAAGTCAATATCATCAGACGCTTGTCAATTGAGATGACTTAAGCCTAAGTACTCTAATACACATTATTAAAAAYAACAGACAAGCTGAAAATATTTCAGAACAATGCTTTTCAACACTGTGATAATATATTGTGTTGAACTGTTCTAGAATCTTAAGTAGATTAAATCAATATTTAAAAAATGGACCTGGAATGATGCTGTGTGAAGACATTTTTTATCTGCATTTTTATGAGTAAAGCCAGGTTTTCTTCTTTTTCCCTACTCTGATCTGCTGCAGAGGATTATGATATTGTAGATAAAGCTTTAGTCCTTCAAGTTTAAGGAAGCCAGAAAACACTAAGTCAGTGCARCTATGTTCTGTTCACACCATGAAATAACTTTATTTCTAACTTGTCCTAATTAGGGAGATGAAAYTTGTATACACATTTTAGGCATAATTTGAATCTGTCAGCAATGCAAGTCTGCCACTATAAAGTGAACGTTAATGCAGACTGAGCATAAGCATAAAGCCAAGCTCTATATTCCCCAATATAAAGAAAAAGCCAAACAAAAGAACAATAGCTACAATTATATGCATGAATGGGGACATGAAATTGGATCRGATCTCTGTAAATGGAATGCCTTCAATTCAGGGACTCATGCACTCTTTCAACTTTTTGCTGTGGTCACTACTCACACATCTAGAGAATTAGCAGCGGCCACAGCTCCTCCAGGCACAGCAGTTCCAGAAGTTAAATATTTGCCTGGTAGCCACATGTGAAGCCTCCAGAGCCTCCCTGGAGAACGGATGGCCTCAGAATCACTAGGCACACCCTGCCACCCTGATCGTCACGGCCCGATCCAGGCTGGAGGAGCTTCACAGAGCAGCYACAGCCACAAACCAGCCCTGTGCACACACGGCTTACACCTGTAATTTGCCCTCGTGCTTCCGGAGCTCTAACGGGGAATTGTGAGCGCACAGCACAGCAACACCTCCAGCTCGGCACCAGCTCCCTCACACTGTGCCTGTGGGGATCTACCCAGGGGCTCCCTCCACACCAGCCCCGACTCCTCACGTTTCAGCAGCGCTGGAGAGCCCATGGTGGCACAGCGCTGGGGCCGTGACCCCGAGGGCCGCGGTCTCGGCCGAGGTGAGGCCGATCCCACCTCACTGGGCACCGCAAGGATCCTCCGCGGCTGCAGACGCGATTCCACGCGTCCCGAGCAGCCCCTTGGCGAGGCGCCACGCTTCGCTCAGTGTCCCGCTGGGCGCCCCTGCAGCGCGGCCCCGGGCCGGGCCCTACCTGCCGCCTGGCGCCGCTCCGCCGCCGCCNCGGTCCTGAGGGGCCGCAGGAGCCGCCGCGACCCCGCCAGCGCCCGCCACATGCCGGTCCGCGCCCCGCCCCCTCCGGCACGGCGCTTCGCCATTGGCCCGCGGCGGGACCGCCCCCGCGCCTGATTGGCGCAGCCGGCTGTCCGTCAGCGGGGCCCGGTGTGCCCGGGGGTGGCGGCGCGGCCCGGACTGTCCCCCCGAACCGCCTCAGGATCCTCCGCCGGGAGCGGCTCCTCCTCCGGGGAGCGGGGCCTGGGCTCTCACAGAGTCACAGAAMCGTGGAAAGGATTGGGCTGGAACGCATTTTAAAGATCATGCAGTTCCCACTTGCCTGCCCTGGGCAGGGGCATCATCCACTAGGCCGTTGCTCAGAGAACCATCCAGCCTGGCCTTGAACGCTTCCAGGGATAATACACCTACAGCTTCCCTGGGCAGCCCTTTCCAGTCCCTCATCGCCCTCACAGTGAAAAAAAAAATTCTTGGTATCTAAACCGTTTCAGTTTGAAGCCGTTTCCCGCTGTTGTGGTGCTCCTCAGCCTTGTGTTCTCCCTTGTGCTCCCTGCCATATGCAGCTGATCTGTCGGGTGTTCAGCTGCGTCTGGACTGTGGGATTTTGCAACCAGGGCACCATACAGGTTAACCTGGGGATACATCCTGAAGGTAACTCTTTAGTACCATGGGTTGAGAACATGGGCCAGGGGATAGCTGAACAAGCATCAACATTAAGGATGGTTTGACATGTCCAGATTTGAGAGGAAAGATCATTCCCACTTGTACTGTGCTGGGTTGTTGGGCAGCTGCAAAGTGCATATGCAGTACATGGGCACTGCCATATAAACCCAAATCACATATTCCAGCTCAAGTCTCATGCTCCCTTTTAAAGGCTACGGTTTTGCCTAAACTGCACCTGGTTTGAAACATTTTTCATGGGGAAARCGTGTTTTCTGTTTGAATAATTCYTGCATAGTTTAATGGGCACAAGGTAGTAATCTCCCTATGCTTGGTTTGCTATGGAGAAAGTTGTCAGGGGTTGAGAAACTATGACCTGGSCATGTTTAAGCATTTGTATTTAATGTGGGTGAAACATATTTCCCTCCACGTCCTTCCCCTGGAAATCCTGGCATTTATGGGGACATGAAAATAAAATAATTACCATTCAGAATGTTTTTCCCTCTCTCACCAAGTATGATGGTAAAACAATGATATTAAGGTTTAAAAGGCATGGTTATGGGCGGTGTCAGACTCTTTGTGGTGGTGCCCAGCAACAGGGCGAGGAGCAAAGGCCATAAACTAAAACACAGGAGGAAGAACTTCTTTACCTTAAGGRTGGCAGAGCACCAGAACTGCAGAGAGAGATCATGGAATGTTCTTGTCTGGAGACTTTCCAAACCCACCCGGACACATTCCTTTGTAACCTACTGCAGATGACCCTGCCTTAGCAGGGGGTCTGGACTAGATGATCTCCAGAAGTCCCTTCCAACCCTAACAATTCTGTGATTTTGGAGTTCTGTGTAAATTATAAAGAACTGTAGTGATAAAAGTTTATTTTTAAAGAAAATTTGACTATGCTGTATGAGGTTGGAGGTGATCACTTGTACTAATAAGCCACAGTGGCTGGGTGTCTCTTGAAAAGTTTTGTTTGATTCCTCTACAATTCCTTCAGGGACTGSTAGTTTTTAGCCTTGATTTCAGCTTAAAAATACTTTTGGTAAGACAAAAATGCCACATTTGATGAGCCTTAATTGTGTGCTATAAAAAATATTCAAGTAGAAAAGAGGGGAGGAACAAAACAAGTTGTTTGAAACAATAGCTCAATTTTAAAAGTAATTTTTAACAAACTTGCTGCCTAACTGATGTTTCCRTTTTTCTTGATGGCATGTTTGAAAAGATGTTCTTTCTATAAAGACGATGTACATTTATGTTTGATGTCATTCTTGATGTTATTTCTCCAAAGGGAACGCCTGAAACCTGTCTTGYAACATTTGCTGACATTCACAAATCTGTTGTTTGTCAGCTGTTCTTGCCTTTGAAGGACATGGAGTTCATTTGTATCCTGATCTGTTCTGAAATTGTGTCATCTGGGTGTTAAGAAAGTCTTCTTGCTTCTCAGGTTTGTGGTGCCATTGCTCTGAGTGCACTTGAAGGAAGACTGAAAAATCAGCTCAAAAACCAATGGTAGAGCCAGGTGTGAACTGAGGGTGAGATAAATCCAGTGTTTTATGGAGGTAGATGCTGTTTTGATCAATAATTGGGCAACTCATCAAGTTGCTTATCTCACAGTTTCTCATACTGAGACAAAGAAAAGAACTCTTTAAAATCATTTCATAGTTTATTTGTCAGTGCAGTAGTTAAATTYTATTGTATAAAAGTAAAGATGTATGAAATAGAAGTTACAGCTGAAAAGGCAAAATCTTAATATAAAAATGTAGTATTCTGACACAATACTTAAAGGGAGATAGTGCAAGATATTCTTGATACTTAAAGTATAAAAAAGTTCTTAACATAYGCCTGAAAGCTGTTTTCTATGCAAAAGCTTAAGATGTCCCTGAGCATAAAGCATTTTGCAGAAACAAGATGTTTTCTGCATGTAGCCTAGGTGGTAGCTTGYATCTTCACTGATCCTGAGATGTGATAGATTTAATGTTTTCATGCTTCATTACAGGTCATCTTAAGCTTTCCACTAAAAYCCTGTCCTGCCTCAAGCTAGAGCAACAAATACAAATTACAGTCCTGCCTGACTGATAACAGAGGACATCATAACATTCAGACAGTAATTTTTGCAGAAAAYGTGTTTCCTGTAAAAGTCTGAAATAGTTTGAGATGCTAGTTCTTAGACAATAGGATGYTACTTATAAAGAAGATGGAACAATAGAAAATACACTGCTATTAATAATATAACCAAAATGGCCACAAAATAATCAAAGTTATGGGAAAACCTGGAAACAAAATAAAARAGGAGGCTGCTGAATTTTAGAACTAAAGAACTAATAACTAATCTCACAGGTATCTGCATTTTTAAAAATATCCTTTAGCAATTTAAAAGTGTCTGTGCACACTGGGAAGGGGCAGTGAAGATTAGATTCAGATTGATAAACATTTGAAAGATCTGCTAAAATAGTAGGAAAGTGTGTTTATAATTATATATTGCCTCAGGAATAGCAAACAGTATGTATCAGAGATGTTTCATGACATGGTAAATAAGCTAATTATATTGAAATACAGATCTTCAAAGAATTCAGAGTTAAAAAATGGATTGTGTAAGGTCATTTTCCCAGCCTTCCTTTTGGTTATAACCTTTACTAATAACATCAGGGGGTTTATGAAACATGAACTATAAAGAATTTTTGGCCTGTTTGCTTATCTCAGTGAACCTTTTTAGCAACCACTTCCCTTTCTGCAAATAAGAAGCTGTTCTTTTCTCATCATGCAGTAAGCCAGCCTTCAGCAGTTTGTGCTGGTCTCACACTGTGAAATGCCACGATGCTGAGTGATGAGCATGTGTGGCTATGAGGCCAGATCACTTCTGAAACGCCTCAGAATGAGTTCTTTTAATGCAGAGTTGCAGCAAGAGTGAACAAGTGAAGCTACATTGATTTTGCACAAGTTTACCTTTTCTAAGGTGCRTCATGTAAAAGCAGAAACTGGAGCAAAGTGCTCTGTTTATATTGGGGTTTTTATTTCTTTGATTTGGTGATCAGATGGGTGGATGAGCCAGCAGAAATTAATGTCTCTTTACAACAGGAAAGACAGAAACGAGAAGAGGAGAGGGCAGTTGAATGCTGCCTGTTCCTGCTAGATCCCTCGTTCTGCTGACCCTTCATTGGACATGGAGCACATATCCACCTGTCTGCCCACCTTGGGAACAGTGGTGCCACTTCAGTGGCTCAAGACCAGTGGAAGCAAAGGAGGCAAATTCAGCATCAGCAGTTGCATCTCAGGATTTTACATGGGGCTCAGAGTAAAAGTTTGAGCAGGGAGATACAGCTGATGGGTCTCATCTTGTTGCTCGGGTGTCTGTGGTCTAGTTTAGAGTGAGACTCATGCACTGGTAGCCATGTCCAGTGGGAAGCTAAGTGTGTCCAGCCCTGTTTTCTGGCCCTGAGGCCAACTGGTATTTAATGAGCTGCACCCATGCTATTGAACCCTGAAGCACAGGGTGTCAGCTGCCAAATTCACAGTGGGGAGCTCTGCCYTTGGTGGTTTCCAGAATGTAGGGTTTGCTTGGTGGGGAGCTGGCCTGCCTGGGGCAAATCTGTGCTAGGACCTTCTGAACAGTGTAACAGTGGCATCAGTTCTGTGCCAAYGCCTGGGAATAGGCCACGGCACGTTTCATTCCACAGACAGAACACGTGCCTGCCCCCCATGTCTCTCTTTCCAGCAAAGACATGAATCCTGCTAAGGCACTAAGCAGCAATAAAAACTAAGTGTTTACAAGTTGGTTGGTTGTTGGGGTTTTAGTCTTCTTTTTTTTTTTTTTTTTTTTTTTTTAATTAACTTCCCCCCCCACCCCCTTCCAGATTATGGATGAAATTAATTTTACAGGCTGCTAACCTAGAAGTAAGAAAAACTAGATAAAGATGCTTGGGTGGGGGTGTTAGTAATTCAGAAGAGTATATCCTATATCACAAGCAAGAAAAGCAAGGGCATAAAACTACCTCCTTGTTTTCTACAAAAGACTACTTTAATGTTGCTAATTGCACCAAGCCCCAAAGTTACCATCCCATCTATACGTGCTTTCACCTTAGTCCCTGGGGTGTTTTAATAACAAGAAGAAAGCCCCAATAAAGTACAGTTCAGATACAAGTCCTGTACTTATTCTAATAGTCAGTGTTACACTAAAAGTTTAAACAATGCCTGGTTTACTCTTCAGCAGAGGATTTTTCTCCRTGCTGTTAGGGAAGAAAATGGCTTTGACAGTGCTGAAGTAAGCAGCAAATCCCTCCTGCTTCTCAGTTGGATCCACACTCCTCTCAATAGGCTTGTATTGCTTGTATCTCCTGCAAGGAATGAGCAYGGTTAATTGCTGAATGACTTTTAAAAGGAGAGTCCKCATTTAGCATGTGACCAGGGCATAAGAGCACTAATCATGTGCTCATCACATTGTCTCTCCTCCTTCCCTGTTCAATCCCATCGAATGTGTGGCAGCCATAGGTCAGTGGTCGTGAAAAGGGACAAGGACACTGCTGCTCCACAGAGGTGTGTGTTTCTCACCACTCGTGTGAAAGGTGGGCACACACCTGACTCAGGAGGCTTGGTGCAGCCTCACAGTCCCAGCAGAAACATCCAAGCTAATAATGCAGCAACATGTGCTTCTGTTAACTACTGTCCTGAGTGCTCAGCACCTTTTCCCCCCGAGAATTCATTCATCAATTGTTTAATGAAGAATTTATTTGGTTTCACTGCACATATAAATCGCAATGTGCAGTTGGAGTTTGCTTTMTGCTTACATGAAGTTCCCAGGCCTGTTAGTATTACTGTTTGTGCTTATGGGCACAGAATGTAATTTTCTCTGAAAGTCCTTWATATCTGCATACTTTCTAATGGTTTTGTGGCCTAAGCCAGTGATCTCATTTTGCTGAATATTTGCCAGAATATTTGTGAGCTGCAATAGTAAAGAAACAAAAATGTAGCTAAAGCAAATATAAGTTATTTGTTTTGCTAATTTAAGCAATATTTTGACAGTTCTGTGAATTGTTTTTAAACACAGAAACTAGCAACTTACTTGTAAAGGACAAATGCCCCAATGGTACCAAAGACTGCCAGYAAGCCAAGGAAGATGAAGAGACCTTCAGTTGTTCCAGATGATGATCCTAGAGTTCAGCAAGTAGATTGATTAAGTTAGCCTCTATTTTACAATGAGATAGACTTTCCAAAGAAAATGCTGATTTTACTTATTGTTGTGCAAATTGAAGCACAGTTAGTAATTCTAATATGCTAAGCCTTGGAGGTCAGTGACTGGCAGGAGGTRGTGCTTTCACGTCCCAATCTGTAATTCTCAGTTCCACCAGGGTGTGAGTTGGGCTTTGCCAGTTTTCTCGTGTGAGCTGTGCTCCTCAGACCTATGGCTGCCCTTGTGGCATGGAAGGGAATGCAGGGCCCTGCTGGCACCCCACAAGGTGAAGCTCATTTGATCCTTGCCATTTGTTCYGCTGGGGAAATGTTTACACTGACAATAAGGTAACTTTTTGACAAAATTAGATTGGCTCGTCCAGAAGGTGACTCAAASCACCAACCCCTCTTAGATCCTAATTCTGCTTTGATTAGAGTGGAAGCCCCAAAGCACAACTCAGCTTTGACCTCTGGAGGAAACCTGGGCAGACCAGCCTTATTGGGCTAAAGCTATTCTCAGAATAGAGTTTAGAAAAACCCTYCTGCATGCTTATTTTCCCCTTTAGGAACCAGATCAGGCATTATGCCTTATTCATAATGAACTGGTAACATCGGGATTAAATAAAATCAGCAAAAAATACTATGAAAGGGTCAGTTGCTTGGCTGATAGTAATTAGAGAGTTCAGAAAAGGCAGTAGTGCATTGTAATAGGAAGTCAGGAAAGTGGGAGCAGAGACAGCATGATTGTTTAGGCTTCTGCCTGAGGCTTAGTTTAATAGTTGGTTCTGTCAAAGACTGCTGTGATAGCTATGAGCTAGACACAGATACACTCATCCAACCAAAGGTAAAGCTCCTCTTCTGAAACAATTACCCTGGGCAGACTCTAGTCACTGAGTGCTACACAGATCATTTCAGAACACGATTCTTCTTATCCTCATGCAGAAATAGAAACCTGGTCAAGGCCAATGGGTGGTAAAGAGGGCCCAGGAAGCCAACTCTGCTGCAGACATTGATTCTGTCTCAAGTGAGCTGCATTCCTCTCTATCTCTGCTATCTCTCCATGTGTGGAGTGGGCTGGCTGGCATGTTCCCATGCCTGCTTTTCTGCCCAACAGAGTTTTCTGTGGAAAATTACATTATAGCTTAAGAGCTATTCATATTCTGTGATACTGAAGAGGTTTTATAATTACTGTACTCATTGGATGATAATCATAAGTCAAACCAAGGTCTAGCACCTAAAATACCCCTAGRGAAATAATCATAATTTTATCTTTGCATGGATTCTTACACAACTGGTGCGGTCTCAGATGAAGCCTCAAGGCTTAATAAAAACCCCCCAATGTATTCCTGTGCTCTTTCCCCCTGCAGGAAAATGACCACAGGAAAAGCTTTGCCCCAAAGTCTGTTCTGTGTGGACTCACCTCCATTGACAGAGATCAGTGCACTGGCAAGGGCTTGGCTCGTGTCATCACCCAAGGTGATGTTTATGCAGTATGTCCCAGGCTCCTCAAAAGCTCTCCTRATGGTGAGCAAGCATTCATCCGTGACGACGATGGGGTCACAAACCATGCTCTTGGACACCTGGCACGTGGGGTCAGAAACTACTGTGCAGACATCTGTGGGGAGACTGGCATGGGAAGAGAGAGCACATTGCATCTRTGGGGTCCTGTCAGCCCAGTTCACACACATTGCACTGCTGCACCAGTTTTATGCCAGTGCCTGTTGAAATCAGTGGCATTAAAGTAATTCAAGAATGCTTTATTAACACTATATGCATTYTTTGCATAGCTATGTATTTTTATATGTGCATGTGGATTTTATATAGAATGCATTTATACAATCTATATAATCATCTGCTTATTTTCCTTACCATGCATTTTATGGTGATCACAGGATTGCCTATATCAAATCAACTTATAAAGTCCATTATCTTTGATAGACATCATTAAGAAAGGAATGCAGACTCTTATAAGTCAAAAGAGAGAACATTCCCTTAAGAGAGGATAATTGTATTCCAGTGATATTACCAATGTGTTTCTTGTACTTCTTGATCCTCTCAACTCTAACCTTCTAAGAGCTAGGAATATTAGTTCAATGTTTTCCGATCCAAAAAAATTGCTTGGACTCACCCATTTACTCCAAGTGTCTAACACACATGGCCAAAAAGAAAGGATTTCCTTACAATTTCAGTAAACTGCTTCCCATTTTACTGTAAGTGCTGAAATCTTGTCTTGGCCAGGAGGCTATAAATTGTTTCTTCCCACAATGAGTTCCTTATTTTTACTGAGACTGGTTATTTGCTCAGAATCCTAAGTGCCTGGCAATAGCCTCTCTTGGCATAGTTTAAAAATGAGACTTGCATTATCTTTCGTTCCRGTCAAGAAATAGAATCATTGCAGTTCCCAAATTTTGTTCATACATCTGCATCTAAGCCCAGACAGCATTCCAGCACCTAATTATTTTCAAAGAGGAAAGATTGACAGCTTCATTCACACACTTACCTCCCTTGGCAGGTAACAACAAAGTCAACCAGTGGGTTTTCAGCTTGACTTTCTGTCATCTGGATGCTTGTCATCTGAATAATATTTACCTCAAGGATTCCCTCTGGGAGAGGAAACACATATCAACTGTAGGACACATGACAAGCTCTGAAGTCTATGTGTACTGAGCCTCAAGTGTTTGGCTGATGCTCAGTTCAGGTCTTGTTTTCCATAATTTCCTCCCTCCCTTAGCACTCCTCTTGAAGGCTTTGAAAGCTGAGAAATTTTCCAGTGCTTTCCCTGTGAGGCTACTCCTTTCTGGCCTGTTTTTTTTCCTCATTATTTACTTATTTTACTAAATCACCTCCCACTACATGAGATTTCTTTGCATTCAAAGGTCAGTTCAACCTTATGTAAATCCCCTCCCCAGCCCATGTGCCCCTGCAGTGGCAGGTTCAGAAGCTGGTGATACAGAAAAGAGTGACACGATGCACATCCCTGCCAGCACGTGCCCATTTTCCAGCACAAATGCCTGGAAACCCCACATGATGTTTGCTGATGGGATCAATTATTAGTAGGCATCGAGACCAAGGTCCAGCCTCACATGTCTGAAACAAAAGAATCATAACCTCTGCACTAGGCCCTTGCAGAGTGCAGGCAGAAAACAAAGCTAGCCAGTTAGATGTCTGTACATTAATCCCTAAATCCTCAGCTATGTCCATGAGAAGGATCTTATTGTGGGTCTCATGTATTTGATAAAAATGTGTCTAAATAAATGTTATATCTCTACCATCCATTGCTTTTCATCCTTAACACCATTTCTGTTCAGGGGCTGACCCACATCCTTACCTACAATATCAATACCACTTCCRTAGTATCCATTTCTGTAAATATGGCAACCTCCATCAGGATTATCCTCCACTGATTCAACAGTGGGAGTAGAGTCAGGATCAGCAGATGCATCAGTCGTTACTGTTGAAGGGAGAAGGAATAGATGTGCAACTTTAGAACAAGCTCAGCTTAGGGGTAGTCTGTACACAGCCCTGAATTTGACCGCCTTCATTCCATCAGCCATCCGTGACTTTGGCTTGGAGCTGTGCAGTCATGGATGGACATGTGTGAGGTCATGGCAAAAATCCCAAAAGGAAACACAAGTGCCCAGCTTTAGAACCCTGGAGTGGCCAGGAGCCTCACTCCRAGAGCCACCTGGCTACTCACCCATCCCTGTGAATTACACTACAAGGTGTAATAMAGTTAAATACTTCTTTAAAATCCCCCAATCAATTATATAAGAAATCCAAAGGCCAATAAAACATTTAAAATGCTTTTTTAAAAGCTGGTCTTTTCCCACTGCTCTAGTGGAAAAATGAAGAGGGGAAGTGGTAAAAATTATATCTTTCCTTTCATTTTTCATTCTCACTCAATATTTTGGTAAGAGCACATATTAAAAATATGAAATTTGAAAAATATAGCCACATTTAAAATTTCATAGTAGCAGTATTATAGCTGAAACTGCAGGCCTTCTGCAAACCTTAAAACCCTCTGAGATGATAAACCAATGCTGAACATAATAAAAGTTATTCTGAACTATGTTAGTCAATAAATTTAAAGTAGAAAAGCTGTTYTGGGTTAATGCCACATGGAAATCCCATCTTTTTAAATATGACTAGCTTTTTCTAGTTCAATCCAATCTCATTTAATTTTGGATGGAAGTCAATGCAATCCAGATAGGAACTTGCTGTAAGAGTATTCTGAAATTCCTCTTTCTCACTTGAAATTTGCATCTTACCTCAGAAGATGACCYTGAGTAGACAAAGCTAAAATCCCCTGACTGGGTGTGCCAGAGAAAATGCAAACAAACTTCCTTTTTTGTTCACCTGAAGACCTTTGTATGCTGTAGGACTGGTGGTAGAACCGGATGCATAAGGAGATAAATGTGCAAGTGATCCCTAGCATAGAACCATCAAAGAGTTTATGCTTATTGATTCTGTCTCTAAACCAGTTTTACAGAGGGTTTGCAGAGGCTTGCAGCTCTTTAATGAATGAAACTACTAAAAATAAGTAATACTACTAAAGATATTAACTTAAAATATCAGAATATAGAGTTTTAGCACAGCTCCTAATGCCACTGGTGTTTGATCAATGCTTACCTGCTGAGGTGGGKGGTGGTGCAGTGGGTGTCACTGGCTTGCAAGGTACAGGTATGATGGCTTGGACAGTTAAATTCAGAGTGAAGTTTCCTTGCAGAGTGTAGGTGTGAGATGTACTGGAACCGCTGGCTACAAATAAGCCACTTCCATCTCCAAAGTTCCATTTGTAGGAGATGGCAGAATTATTCARGTAGTGGCTGGGATCGTGGATCTTCACATCAAATGTGATTGGTGAGTCTTTGATGAAAATGGAGTCTGAGAGGTTGCGGTCGTGTTTTTGATACATACTCACAGATATTGGAATTTTGTCTGGGGGAGGGGGTGAAAAAAGAAGTAAATAAATAAAGCAGAGATACCTGGCTGCAAATAACAAACARTTCCAAAATCCCTGAAGAGCAACAGCCAGAATGTGAGACATTAACATGGTATCTTTAATACAAGTTTCTACTTTTATTCGATTTAAGACCTGAGGAGTGAATGTCAGTAGGAAACAGTTACTCAGAGCATATGGGAGCGAATGAGGAATCACAGACATCTGTGGAAGATGTGTTTCCTCTCACAAATCATTTTTCATTACAAAGCAGAGGTGTCACCACTAAGTTAGACACAAAGCTAACTTATGCTATTCAAGGCAATTTACCAGAGATTCCACTTTCATATTAAAAACCTTTCTCAGACCAGTATCTTCTATTCTTGCCAGATGTTGCTTGTGCTGAATTTTTTTAACATCTCAGCAACAAATACCCCCAGCATTTCATTACAGTTTATTCCAGCACACTCACCTGTAACAAGATAATCAGCTTTTGCTCTTGCAATYGGAACAAATCCCGAACGCCCTCTCCTGTAAATGGACACTGCCATCCCGTGTGTRCCAAGAGTGATATTTGCTGTGTTGACTGAAAAGTTTGTTGAAGATCGTCCCGTTGTTTGGTAATACTGACCTGAAACAGAATATGAATGTAACATTTTTCCCTTCAGCCTTGCTGCAAGTTGTTCCATGAAAGGAAATGTTTCTAAGAATCTTGGATTGTCTAAATCAAAATGAATAGTTTAGAAATGTCTTCCAATAATCTGTCAGGTTATTGACTGGATACTTTTACAATGTGTTTACTCATACAAATTCCAGTTTTTCAAAGTTGTCAAAAAGATGTCCCAAATTCACTAATCCAAGAAAAAATTGCCAAGACATCTACATCTTTCCAAAGCAATTACATTACATTAAGTCATTAGGGTTATGTAGTGGGTGGTGTGAAGCATTTTAAGTGATCTTGYGTTTGCTTTCAGTGTAGCCAGAAGATATAATACCCCTTGCTTCATACTCTCAAACCAATTGTATAAATTTGATTATTTGTCTTTTTAACAGCTGATTGACGTAGGTAAATAGTATCACCTCTGCATAAAATTTGTGCTCAGAATATTATTTTTTTTCACTCATAGTGATACTGATAATGATACTGATTTGGCCAGGTGAACTGAGGGTACTAAGATTTAGTACATATCTAATGGCAGGAATAGCCCAACCATTACATAGTCAGGAGCAGGAAACATTGAAAATCAGCAYCTGTGACCAGAGCAGCAGCACAGCCAGTGGCAGTTCTCACCTCCCTAGAGACAAGAAGTGCTGCATGGTTAAACTGGTGATACACAGCACTGGTTTCTCTCTTAAATCTAAGGGTCTTAAGTGACAGTGAGCTGTCAATAAATCATCTGACTGACCCGCTCTGTCCCTCTGTTTTCCCAGAAAAAGATCTTGAGTACTGCTGAAAGGAAATTAATTTTCTTAAGTTGTAGTACTGTGAATGCAGATTTAAAGGGAATCTTCTGGTAATCCATGATTTCTACACCAAACACCGGATGACCTCTCTGGAAAACTGGGCAATTAATTCAGTATTTCCACTCAAGAGTGTGGAATATTTTTCAAAGGGTTTTTAATGAAACATGTTTGACAAATGTGTTGTGTACAAAGGGAATAAAAGGTTTTCAGGATCACCCCAGCCAAGGCACATGTTGCAGTACTGACCAAAAGTGTGAAACACRTAGACAAAGTTCCTTCTCCTCCAGCCAGGGTGATGAGGGAAAGGACGTCCGTCTGGGAATACATTATGGCTGTGGTTGCTTGAGCAGTTTCCCCAGCCACAGCTGTCAGTCCATTCAGTCCAGTTGTAGACATAGAATTGCTGATCCCCAAAAACTGGAGGATCTAAGGATAGAAATAGGACATTTTCTGGTTAACTGAGAAATGTGCAGAAAGTCAGGAAACAGGAGGCAAACYCCACAGGATATGGCAGTTACTGCATTTAAACAACAGGTGAAGTAGGGTGTTTTTAGACTGATGTTCATTCTTTTTTTCTGAGATTGTGCTTTGTTTGGTTTTAAACATAAACACAAAATTGCTCTATCTTGGCACTGTTCTATTGAGAAGTTTAAAAAACTGTACTGGCTCATAGGCCAGTCACAATTTAAAAGTTCTTGCCCAAAAACTTGCTGTTGACTACACAGGATGCTACTGTTCCACTGAGGATARTGGGGCTACCTGAATATTTGGCAAGCAGAATCTAAAATTTTAAGTACAAAGAGTGGCTGGGAAAGCACTGTGAGGAAGTGACTTCATTTGTTTTGTCAGAAAAGGTTTCTATGACACCTTTAAATAACTTAGACATGAATTTCTACTGTTTTCTGAATAATAAATAGAAATTTTCCTCCCCCAAACAGCACAGCAGATATTGAGTATGGATATCAGCTGCTAACAAAATATTAGGCAGTTAAAAATAATGGAACTTAGCCTGACAAAAAACTTGCTGATATGCCTTGAAATGAAAATTTCTTTGATCAATAAAAAAGKTTGTTGAACATTTATGAATTCAGAGGATGAAAGGTAGAACAGCATGTGTTGTTCTAGATCCAGCAGCTTAAAACACTGGAATTATGATAGGCTCTTTTCTCCAWGTAGTAGTAAATGAGATGAAAAAGGGTGACTTTCTGAGGAAAATATTGGTTGATTTTTAAATGTTTGTTTGTTTTGATATGAATTCCTAAAATGTGTGAGTGTGAGATTTATTCTTTCTTGAGGTTTTTTTTTCAAGATGCAGATATGGTTACTGAATTCTATAATTCATAATCGAAAAAAAAAAAAAAAAACCCCTTCAAGTTTACAAATTGACATCTTTATGAGTTTGAAAGAAAACAGTGTGATGGTGCAATATTGTGCCTGAGTTGAAAAGCAGTAACAGTTCTGTTGGGAAGCCGGATTGTGTGACTGTTTTGGGAAGACAAGTTTATAATGATGGTCAGTCTTTAATTATCTGGTCAATGTACTTATAATGGGACAGAACACTAAAAATCACTAAAACCACCACAGTGATCTTCTTAGGAAAGAAACTGGTGTGGCACAGGCTGGGTATGCATGGGAAATGTTATCAGTTATCAATTTTCAGTTATCAGTTAAATCCAACATGGCTGTTTTTTGTCGGGGGTGCCAGTGACACTTCCAAAGCTCAGTGCCACATTCCAGCAGCACCAGGCAGACCCAAAGCTCAGTGCCACATTCCAGCAGCACCAGGCAGATGTGCATGGTGCAGGAAGTGGCCATTACCTACCCTGGGTGCAATTTCTCCTGTATACAATGTTGCCATCATTATCTTCCGTTTGGCACTTAGGAAACTGCAGAGTCACAGAAAAGGTCACGTTGGATCCTACAAGTGCTGGGCTATCGCTGTCCAGTTTGGCTGTCACCCTTCCACCTGTAGAAATGAAAATTGGTCTTCACTGAAGCAGAGGGTGCATCAGAGGAGAAGCTACCATCAACTGTGCACTACTTACATTTAAAAAGTGTTATTGATTACCCTTTTTTCTAAGGGGTTTCGTGCTCCTACGTCACTTATCAAAACCCCAACTTGAAACAACTAGAGGGACTCCGCATTTTCCCCCAGATCACTTGGTCTACCATTAGTTTTTTTCCTAGAGCTAAGAATATAGTTTTCTACCCTTGGGSKYMA